TGCGGTTGTGGCAAACACACAAACTAACTGTACACCATGGCCGCGAGTCGGAGCAGTGAAGCAGACAAACGCAGCATGCCGCGACGGCACGGCGCGATTCAATGTCAGGGCTCCATTAGCACCTCATTGACAGGTAAAGTGCCATCAGGTTTCGCGCATCCAAGAGAGGACAGGGAATCTGGCATGCACTGGGATGCAATGCATCAATGACTGCCAGACTAGCATAACTACCGAATCGCATGCTGCACTCATAGCATATCTCAGAGATAGAACTTGGCCATGCATCTTCAGCCGACCTTCGTGGCATCTCCTACAAGTGTTTGTTGAGCTATCTGCAGTAATTTATGACAGGCCATCAATAACCGTCATTCAATGCTCATACGCTCAGTGATGACACGATGCTTTTAACTTGATGAACGTAACTGCTGTTTTCAGATAAATAATGCCCGTTTTTCAGCTTTAAATTTAGGTTTTTCTATTATTGACTACGAATTTTCAAAATTCTTTTACGTGCCTGATAGCGATGACCCCTCCTTTATAAAGACTTTTTGTCAGTTTGAAGTGTCGCTGCAAACACAATATACAACAAGCGGACATTTGTCATTTGATCCTTTCGCCCCAACAGGCTTTTCCGTCTTCTGGCAGTAATTAACTGGTAATTTGCATTTTGTCAAGGTCTTTACCGACCATCGTCTGCTTAGCCCCTTTTCTATACTTTTGTCAATTTGCCCTTTCTCGGTTCGTTACCAATCCTTCCCTTTCAGTTTCAGTTTCTTTTTTTTTTAATTTTCTGTTTTTCAATTCTATACTTAAGCTCTTAAAGCTCGATTCGTACGCCTCTCTGGTTGACTAATTTGAAACGTAGTGTATCTGCCCCAAATACCCCGCATTTTGTTATGATAGAAAAATATTTCCATTTTTAGGTTCTAAATGGTCTGCAGCAAATTTAAGCTCGTGCGTTGCTCTCAGTGTCACTTTCAATTTCTAGCAATTTAATTCGCGTTTGCAGTTAGTTAAATGTGCGTCTCTGTTTCTCTCGTTTTTATGGTTTATGGAGCATTTCCGTCAATGAGGTCAGCAACTATAAAAATACTGTGATCTATAAGATTAGATTTATTTATAATAATAATATAATAATAATATATATAATAATATCCCAGAAAACTTTATCTGAATGTAAAAAACTAAATTTTATATTGCCCTTTTATATTGTCCACTGAACGAATGCTAATGAAAAGTGCTGTGACCCAGACGAACTAAAAAGCCATTTGCAAAAGCATTTTGTTTAACAATGGAAATGTACGCCAATGTAGAGCACAATTATCGCAAAAATGGAAATATTTGTAGTGGCAGCGCCATGCCGGCTTACGCCATCAAAGGAATGCAGGTGGTGCTCGAGTTCTAAAATATTTCAGTCTTCGCCTCTGCTAATTGGCGAAATCCAATTACCATTCCACTCCCTATTCCTGCCTGCAGTGAAGAAATGTCAGTCAGGGTAATTATATAATTGAGTCTGGGTGAAGTCACTGCAATACTAATTAAGTTCTGCCAGCCATCATCGCCGATGATCTGTAAGATACGAGATGCGAGCAAAAAAAGTGTGTCAGACACTTGACATTAAACATTAAATGAATTGAAATTGCCGGCGTTCCATGTTTGGCATCTATTGCTGATGACATCGTTTGACAACATCCCATTGATGCGAGCGAGCACCTAATGACCTGTAACGGCTCCTCCACAAGAGTGCGGTGCTTCTGCCCGCGTGGGTGGACTGGGTCGTTCTTGCGATAGGAGGGTGCACTGTGCGGTGATACGGGGCGTTAAACGCGATAAGCGGTGTTTCCCTCTGCACAGACAACCTACTCCACATTGATTGAAGAAAACCACGCACTCTGGTTGCCTCTCACATTTCTTGGCCAGGGAGAAATGGAGGTCAATAGCTTTCTTATTACTTACATGCTCTCGGAGCTAAACACTTAACCCATTGTCTCCATTAAGCTGTAGAGCCGCACTAAAGTTTTCGTAAATTGAATGCAAGGCGACACATCGTGGAAATTAATCAAGGCAACCAATGAGGCTCTCCTTTGACAAGAAACTCCACCACCCCCAAAAAATGTATTTGACTGATTTGAATTATTCTCGCACGAAGAAAATAAATACATAGCAATAAATGAAAGCAATAAAAGTTATAGCGACCGAGGCAAGCGCTCAAAACAAATGCACCAATAAATAAACGCTAAAGGCAGACGTACAAAAAATACAAATTTTTACCCAACAATAAATAATAAAATAAATAAAAAAAGCTCGAACCAAGTGGAAAAGAGAAAGGAAGTGGGGGCAGAGCTCGCCAATTCTCAGACAAGGTAAATAAAGGGAACGACCCCGGAGCAACGAAAACTCAGGCTGATCTCACAGCTCGGATAAGTGTTCCACAAAAAGAGAAAAACATTTGCCTTATTGTAAGCCCGAAGTCGTCATGCCTACACAGACAGAAAAATGTATATATTATACGGTGTTTAAATTTTAAGTAAAGACAAGAAAGGAAGCTAACTTCGTAAAGCCGATATTCATATATTCTTGCAGCTATTGCCATGGGAGCTTTAATGTTATAGTCGACCGTTTTTAATGAAATTATATACTTATAATAATTTCATTTATTTTTCCGATTGTTCCTATGCTTTAGTCGACCGATCTGGTTCGTTCCGACTTATGTACTACCTGCAACAGAAAGACAACTTTTGGGAAAGTTTCATGCACATATCTTTAAATATGAGAGACTAGTTTGCGTGGAAACTCTCCTAGTGATGTTGATCAAAAATATATATATTCTTTATAGGGTCGGATATGTCTCCTTCACTGCGCTGCAAGCTTCTGACTGAAATTATAATACCCTCTGCAAGGGTATAAAAAATTACCAAAAACCTTCAGTTTTAATTCCATAACTTTTCTTAAAAATATCCGATTTCAAAATGACATATCTTTAATGTATTGGTGCTTCAGTCTCTAAAACTCTGCGTTTAAAAATGGTTTTGTAATTTCGGGTCGATTTTTTGTCATTTTTATGATGTAACCCCTTTCTAAATATCCGAAAAATCGTCGTTGCAGAAAAGTGACCAAAAACCTGCAGTTCTAAATCCATAACTTTTGTTTCACGCATCCGATTTCAAAGATGTATATCTTCAAAGTCTTCTTGCTGAATCCTCTAAAAAATTGCATTTAAATTTTGTTTTGAAAGTTTGGGTTGATATTTTTACGACATAACTCCTTAATTAAATTCCGAAAAAAATAATTTTAAAAAAGGTACCAAAAACCTTCAGTTTTAATTCCATAACTTTTCTTACAAATATCCGATTGCAAAATGGCATTTCTTGACAGTATTGGGGCTTCAGTCTCTAAAACTCTGCGTTTAAAAATTGGTTTGTAGCTTCGGGACGATTTTTTGTCATTTTTATGACAAATCGTCTTTGCAGAAAAGTGACCAAAAACCTTAAGTTTTAATTCCATAACTTTTCTTTAAAATATCCGATTTCAAAATGGCATATCTTTAATGTACTGGTGCTTCAGTCTCTAAAACTCTGCGTTTAAAAATGGTTTTGTAATTTGGAGTCGATTTTTTGTCGTTCTAAATATCCGAAAAAATCGTCGTTGCAGAAAAGTGACCAAAAACCTGCAGTTCTAAATCCATAACTTTTGTTTCACGCATCCGATTTCAAAGTTGTATATCTTCAAAATCTTGTTGCTTAATCCTCTAAAAAAAATGTATTTAAATTTTGTTTTGAAAGTTTGCATTAATATTTTTACGACATAACTCCTTAATTAAATTTCGAAAAAAAATCATTTTAAAAATGATTTTATATAATTGATCTTGTTGCAAATGTCGAAATGACCTTGCCATTTCGATTTGATATCGAGCTGAATTTTTCTCAATGTATGTTGTGCCAGTCGTAGCCGATGACGGAGACGTCGCCACTGCTTGTAGTTCAAGGTGCGCTAGTGAACTGTCGAGAGGCCGAACGCTATGCGGGTGAAGTGAAGACTGGCTGGCAAGAACAACGCCATGAGGCGAGGACGGAGTTTATTCTCCCGAGGGCGCACTGCAGACCACTTTCTACCATCCGCCAAGTACGGGCACAAAGTCATTTTGCATGTGCACTGTAAATTGACAATGATTGCCTACAATTTGCTCAGCACAAAAAGCGACATAAGCGAGCAAGAAGCTGGGAAACACAGTCGAACGAAGATGCAAATGCAGAACCAGATGCGAGCAGATACAGATATCCCGCTGTAGATAGAGATGCAAGTGCTGGAATCGTAGCTACTTTATAGGCATGTCTCTATCTGCGACTTGTTTGCCGGTTGGCTGTCTCGTAACTCTGGTCACTTAAGTTCTGGCACAGTCGAGGCCAGTGGAGGATCACAAATCATAGCGGGCACCGCAAATGGGGACTTCGAACGCTGGTAGGGCATCTTCTCACTGAATTTGCAAGCATCTCAAATGATTTTTCAATTAAGATTGATAGTAATGAAGTCGTTTTAAGCCTGCTGTCGTCGTGCATAATTGACCACTGAAGTTATGTAAGCAATATGCCGGCAACGCACATTTCACTCGCTTCACCCTCTCATCGGCCCTACAAGGAGCCGCAATAACATATCCCAAGATGGTACTCACTCGGAAACGGTGCGAAAAAATTGGCTTGCATTAAAGCCCAACAGCTGATGATAAATCGTTACTCAATTTCACAATATCTAAAAAAATTAAAACCGTTTTTTTTGTTTAAAAAAAAACCAAGACGCTTTAATTCTTAAAAGATTCCTAATTGTGGACTGGTGCCTTCTGAAATTCTTTTGCAATTATACGATTTCTATAAATAAATACTAAAAAAATTAATTGTGACTTAAGAGGCTCAAAAAAAAATCTTTTTATTGCGTTGATAACTTTTTACTGAAACTAGAATACCCTCAGGAAGGGTATAAAAAAAAAGATGCAGCAACCAACTTACCAGTCAGTTGTTAGCGTTCCAAAAGCCAATTAATCTGCAAAGAGACATCGAAAATTATATATATATATTATTGTTCAACATTTTTGAAAATCTTTATATCCGAACAAGTCAAACATTGAAAAGCAATTAAAAGTGCTTACCCTCTCAAAGCCCAAGTTTTTTGACTGCCACGTTTAGGTAAACAGCCACCGCTAAAGCTCACAAAAAGTAAGAAAAAGCCACTGAAGGGGCCAAAGTGGCTTGCACATGGTAATCTATCATTTGAGCCGACACTATCGACGCAAAATCTCACGAGCCCGATGCGATTAAAGATCTGGGCCCAACAAACTGATAGTTATGAACTCGAAGCGGCGAGGCGGGACGGTGGAAAATGGTACCGTTAGCCACGACTTGAGCCAGACTAATTGCATCGTCTGTCTGTGTGGCAAATGTGAGGAAAGACGAAACCAGTTTGCCGGCTTCAGCTCTCTGCTTAAAGTCAACAAGCGTAATCTTGGCTGCACGTAGGGCAATGAGGAGGCCAAATTCCAAAAAGCCGCTAGAACAAAGCTGCCGCCCAAAGGAAATCGAGGCTTATGAGGGGGAAACGCAGTTCTGCGCTCAATTTCCGATGCGTGTCAGATGGAAAAATGGAGCAACATGAAAACCCCTAACCTTAGACACTTTTATCCTAGGATTACCCCTCTCAGCTCTCTAATCGATATGGAAATGGGCTGCTTTTACATCAGCTAATTTATGCTGTCTACATACACTAATGAATGACTATGTTATGGCCATCAACTAGCAGGACCATAAAAAATATTTGCTAATTAATTGTGGGACCAGGGGTATTTTTAATGGCCAGGCCATAAAATACCATAATGCTGCAGGCAAGCAACAAAATGCCACGAGTCCGATGACCGCTAACTGCGCCGCAGAACGGGCCATTTAAGGTGTGAAAAGTTCATAGCTTTTGAGGTCAGCCCGTTCCCGCTTCCCACTGACTGACAGTGGCTGAGTTGCCGCAATCGATCTCTCCCTCAGGCGGACGCACCCTAAAGTCCACAGAGGCCTGTCAATAATGCTCTTCGAAGAAATGTTCTCCAATTATAAGACCCAACCTCGAGTACCCATAATTGGTTTTGTACTTCTTGCTGTACCTATAATTACAGATGCAGATATGTACACCCGCGCAGAAATTGATTGTTTGGCGCCATACTTTTTGCTTTCAGTATTTATTATTATTATTATTACGGTGCACTATACGTCCAAAATAGACAAACAAACAAACGGCAATTTCATTTGAGCTGACATTTGTGTGTGCAAACATCCAGCTTCTGCTGGACAACACCATAAAATGTCCGCAGCAGACGCCTGTAATGTAAATGTGGATCAGATCCGTTGTCCCCTTTCCTGAAGTGGCTCATAAATCAAGCTGACCTGTGCAGAAAGTGAATTTAGAGTTCTCTGTTTTAGTTTGTGATTCCTACCGCGACCCAACCACTAGTTCAATTAGCTCGTATGAAGGGCTTTTCCATTAATCAATACCACACAATTTTAGTGACCCAGTCCATTAGCCAGTATCGAAAAGGCCAAGACAAAAGCTCTGTCTGACGACCCAGGCAACAGAAAATACTTGGCAGGACTATTCCGGAGCTGCTTTGTTTAAGCAGAGCACAATTTCTGGCCAGCCACTTGGAACACGTTCAGCGATCGACGTCGGTGCAATTCCATTTCAGGGAATAGCGCTAGCAATTTTGTCGGAAATTTCTAACCTGTGTTTTTAATTTGCAGCAGCAGTGTGGTCATAGCCAGAAAGGCAGCCAGTACACCATGTCAAGTGGCAGGACTGGAGCCCAAACATGAGACATTTGCTGACATGACATGGCGCCAACACAAGCCAACGGGCTGAGGGACCCTCTATTCAAACTGCGTAGTGCCAGGCATTGGAGCTTCGTCTATTGATTTTCCATTGTTCCAGGGACATTTTCGTCCATGTTGTGCTGTCACTCTGGCATTTGTTGTCAAGCACTTATCACTAATACCCTGTACGGGTTTTTTACGTGCAAGTGTGGGAATTGTGAGACGTGTACACAATTTACTCAGGGGCAGCTTAAAGCTGCTTCTCTTATCAGCAGCTGCTGGATCACGAATGGAACCACTCGATTCACCTTGGTTGAGGTTTCATAAATTCCATCTGCAATCGTCGGGCGAAAATGCAATTCAGCATGGAGCGATGGGAGGATTGTGGGATTGAGAGGTGGAGTGGAGGAGAGGAGGATGAGCATATCGAATTTACCGCCTCAGGCACACATTGTTAGATTGTGGGTGAGTTAGGTTGCGCAGAAGCTTGAGTCTGCTCTGGCTCTGGTTCTGACGGCAACAGCTGTACACACACTTCTTTAGAACAGATGTGGGCATGTTCTGGGCTTTTGTATATCTTAAATTTAGCGTTAACTTGCAGGCTTTGGGCTCCATTATACTTTCTGCTTTCCTTGCAGGATTTACCCTCGAAGAAAAGTAAAAAGTCCCGCATCCAAATTACATCATTTCACTGGGCTTCCACGTAAAGCGACTTTCAGCGGTGCAAAAAGTAATAGCAAAGTTGTGAGCCAAGTTGAATGTTCCCTTAAGCGGTGGACAAAAGGTCTGTGCCGATTCTTCAAAAGTTGATGCGAATCTTATGGAATCGGTCATAACAAGCATTGTAGCACTCTCGACCTTTCCAAACGGTTTGGTTATTCGAAAGCAAAATTGTTTGCGCTTTAAACAAACCTGTAAGCCCTTCAAAATAGCAACAAGCAACGGTTTGAAAGGCTTCAAAAAAGGACCCGGGGCGAGGAAATGTGAGTGTCGAGTGTTTTAATGGTCAGAATGCAAGCCGTGTGACTTTCCCCTAATCGAAGCGGGTCTAAAGGGTGAGCGGCCAGGCAGGCAACCGCCCTCGAAACGCAGCCAATATGCGCCCAACGACAATGTGGGCAATTTCAAAATTTATCACAACTGAGAGTCAAATGGCCCTTACGAAGGGGATGCATTGCGAACGGGACATTTGCGGGGTGGTTTCCACATTATCAACGCAACAAGACGCACGCAGGATAAGCGTGGAGAATGCCCGGGGTCGGTGTTGAGAAATGCCGGCCCAAATAACCATTTCTGTGTGGAAATTAATTTTTATTTTATGTGATTCGCTTTGTTTGCTTTGTTTATTTACAGAAATGTGAAATAATTGGCGGCGGACGCCGCACAGCGGGAGTTTTAGGATCATTCCCAGGATCTGGAACGGGATACGTGCGGTAGACGAATTTCACAGCGAAAGGCTGCATTTGTTGGATAACATTCACAAATGTACCAAATTCGGAAGCCAGTTTTGGCACTTCCACTTCCAAACTCAGGAAATGCAGATAAAATTCCAATCGAGCAAGCACAGTTGGGAGTGATAATAAAACTTAAAGCAAGGAAAAGTTTAATTTTGTGTATTTTGGTAAGAGAAATAAAAGGACTCAATATTTCAGCCACCACTGTCCCAGAGATTCTCACTCAACTTTTTGACTCAAGCACAACAAACAGCATAACGAAGGACGGCGACACAACAAAGGCGTAATAGAGAAAGAAATAGCGAAATAATAAAATAACAAAGTAAGCACATGCCAGTTCCAACCCCCCTTTCTGCCAGTCCGCATGATGTGCTGCCCGAAAAATAGAAGCCACGATTTGCGAGCGGCAACCAGCGCATGGAACGTGTAATGCTGTAAGCAGGGCCAGACGGCTAGTAGAGCTGAGCCAAACCACCCCTCCGTGGCACCGGCAAGGATGGTTTCATCGGCAGAGGACAATGCCACAAGAAGAAGCAGCTGCTGCTAGTTGGCTCGCAGGCATCTTTCGCATTTTCGCATTTTTTTCTTTTTTGCGTTCTTGTCTCGGCGCGTCATCGTCGGTCTCGTCCCCATCCTTGAACTGAATCTTTTGAATCCCCTTCTCAAAGGCCCGCTCATGCTCATCTCATTCAAATGCACTCGACGGGCTCTAAGTAAAGCCAGAGTCAGAGCACAAAATCCCAGAGAACGTGATTCATTCACGGAATTCTGCCATGGTGTTTTATCAATCAAGCGCAGGAGTCTGCGATCCTATCTAGTTTTTCTGCTCACCTCAATGCCTTAGTGACATTCAGGTGAGTCACCCTGCCAAATTATCCCGACAAATAAACCCAGAAGTAATACTTTACTTGTTTCCTAATTGTCGTTATAGATTTTTCTAAATTGGCGTCACATCCCCCTAGTTAAAAGGTTCTGGTTGCGACACACGATTCGGATGTTGTTTTGGCACAAAACACTACCTTCAACCAAATCCAATCATCATTGAATATCCATCAATTTTACTCAATCAAGAAGCCGCCTATCAAGACTACATCGGAGCGCCATAAAAGGAGGCGAATCGGTACATATGAGCATAGCAAAATAATCAATGGGAAACTGAGTCATGATCACGGGAGGGCGATGGATTCAATTCAAGGTTCTATTCTAATTTTCAATATGATGACATCACACGCTGTTGCTGAGTCGAGAATTTGTGTGCAAATGTTTATATTTCGTTGAATTTATGTTGCGCTGGGCGATTCAAGAGGAGTACGTAGAAGACGTAAATAAATTAAAAACTTCTCATTTTGAGCTGTGGAACTGAAAGTAAAGATGCAAAGCAGAATAAAATCAATAAGGCGGATCCCTCATTTCTGTTTAACTATATTTCCACCTTACCGTTGCAACCCTTTGCCAAGGCAACCCCTAACAAACTAAGGACTCATCGACACCACTGGAATTGACCTCTGACAGCGGAGTGCACGACCTCTCATGCCTGGTGTCCATCAAACAAATTCGATGTTAGTTTTCGAGATGGCTAAAAGGGCTTCCACTAGCCCCAACAAGCACCAAATGCACAATTTCGTCAAGCGAACAAAGCGAATGGGGGACGCATTAAAAGACGATAGGAAAACCTTAGCAAACCTACCACAATCTGAAATCCAACTGAGCGACATCGGTATATATGCAAACATTTTTGAAAACTTGGTTGCCTATGTGGGCCATCGCGTGCTCGAACCGAGTTAAATGGGCGACAAATAAAATTTCATAATCAACAACTGGCAATGGGAATTTTCGAGGCTTCGCCGGGTTGCTGGTTCCTTTTTTTTGGCCATAAACTGACAAGTTGCGCCTGCTCCAGGATGACTCATTGTGTATCCCACCAGCGCCTCCTCCAAATCTTGCGACCTTCATCAGGAATTGAACGACATCGAAACGAATTAACTGCCAACTTTTGTTCATATCCTGCTATCTGGCTCAGCTTTCATTATCTCCTTCTCAGCCTTCACAGACAATTGCTGCCGCCTCCGACTCCGCCTCCGCATCTATCCCCGATTGACTGGTGCTTGAGCATTTATTTGTTTTCGTGCGGGTGTCCTTTGCCCTCTGGCTCAGCTGTTTGCGTGCGGCGTCAAATAGGTTTCCACCCGTTCTGCCCTAGCTCAGGAGCTGGGAGGTCGGCGGAGGTCAGAAGGCGTCAACCAAGCAAACGCCAACTTGGCGCCATTTCAATGCCGCCAAGCTTCATTGGTAGCCCAACTTGTAAAAGTGCCTGTGAGTGTGTCGACTGTCAGATGTGCTGAGGACATATGAAATACCAATGGATTTACTATTATGGCCTGTGAGCAGCAGAAATTTGTAGTATTCTAGCAGGCAAAGAAAATATTTTTAGCCATTAAAGTGTGCTGAAATGAGTTTCACATGTTCCCAAATTGACATCATAATTTTCACACCAAGATCGGAGTAATGAGGTGCAAGTAATTATGATACAAGGTAAATACACAAGACATCTAATTATTAGCATAAAGGTGTTGATTAGAAGATGATATAAGACAGTGTTTAACCAAGAACGTCAACAAGTGCAATCAAAACTCGATTTAAAAAAATGTGAATTTGGCAAAGTATACAAAAGCCAAGAGCAAACACAAGCACATCGAACCGAATCAAAATGGGTAAATAAAACAAGTTTTGAGAGACTACGTTTTTCGAGTCGAATTCCCCTGACAACGACGATTCGACGGAAGCAAAGCAAGAATGAAGAACTGACTGAGGCGGTGGAGAGCTTATCACAGATCTGCTTTTAATTCTTGGTCACCAGAAGTTTAAGGCTGGCTTGAAGAGTCCTAAGCCCCCTTACTGAATCGTAGCAAAAACCTTACCGAATTTGCAGGGTATTCAACTCGATTAACTTCGAAAATCGATTCTCCCCCTCGGGGTGAATGCGGAAGCACTTACAGCACCGCAGAGTCATAAATGCGATGTTCCACGGGCCCCCATTCGCCCCCATACGAACCCTCCGTGCTCCGTACATATGCTTATTAGGTCGAACGTGCTCTGTCACGAGACTTTGGGCAGGAAAACTGTCTGTTCCAGGGTTTCCGGCCAGGTCCAATACCTATTATTTCAGCCTACTAACTCGCCACCGCCACTTGAGCCGGCAATTCTCTAGTTGTTCGATGCCGCAATAAAAGCCTTTGATTATGTTGTCCCGAGCTCCTTTTCCTTTGGGAGCGGGCAAGACCTTTCCCCCTTGTTGGTTGCAGCTACCTTGTTGTCTGCCGCTCGTCTAGTGCTTAAATATTTACAGCCTTCCCAATAAGAGAAGTTGTGGGGAGGGACTATTTTACCAAATTCAGCTGCCTTTGAAGATTTTGCCAGTTTAATTTTTATGAGTTTTTTTTTACTTCTTTACTGGCGCCAGTGAAACAGGGAAGCCGCTGGTCGCTCTTAGTAACCATTAAAAATTCATCATCAGTACCAAAGCTGGAAAGTCTCCAACTGAATTTAAAGCAGATGAGGCAGGCTCACCTTGCACTAAATTTGAGATTCCCAGCTATTCAACAGAAAATCCGGTGCGGCAAGTGAAATGTCAGAAGCTAATTATCGTTGTTGTTTGACCCAGTTGTTGTTCTTTCAAGGAACTATATATCAGCAGCTGCAATAGGTTCTTACTTGAATCGATAATTTTAAATGCACCGTTAGGTCGCAATCCAACGCTTCCAATTTGCAGGCAATATATGTATCAGGGTCCTGGAAACGAGAAACGAAAAAAGCATAGACAAAACGTAAGTCCAGCGCAATTTATCGGGGATATCCTGCGGTAACTAAGTTGGCGGTACTGTTGGCCTGCAGTTAATTCTTAGCCAAATGCAAATGTTATTTTGTTGCTGCGCTCTAATTTCAACACATGCACACGCATACGCACACACACACGGACGCTGGTAAACTGGTCAGCACACGAATGACGTCATGGCCGAGGATGCTGCGCGCATCCCCAAAACGGTGCCAAAAGTCGCACTTTGTTTTAAATATTTTGGAATTCTGGCAGTTTCCTGGCATAAAATCCGTTTCCCCAGAATTATACGATTCCCGGGAAGCGGTCAGTTATTTTCAGTAAATTAAACGAATGCGTTCAGTTAATTTATGTAAAAAATGCAACTGGCGCCAAGCACTCAAATTGGGCTGTTTATTACTCGGAAATGGACTTACTGAATCAAACGCGAGGCACTCACTCGCGTTCTGCGAAAAATTGTTAAGTAGTAAGTAACTGAAAAGTATCCGTGAGCCCGCGCGCACAACCTTCTCGACTCGCTACAACATTTAGTGTGACCAGCCAAAAAATGTTGTGTGACCAGGGAGAACTTCCCTGCCAACACCGATTGTTGATGTGTTGGACTTAAACAGCTGATTTGATAGTGTGGTGAGTTGTGCGAGGCAACGGCAATAGAGCAAATGAGCGACAAGTAGGTGAGAAGACGACAACTAGAAACGTCTGCATTGGGATTTCACCTTGGCGCGCATTTCAATTTAAATATGTTACCTATATTTTCACACTGAACTGTTTAGCTCAAGTTAATTGATAAAAATTTCTCATATGCATTATTAAAAATAAAGTTTGTAAAAACAAAAATTGTTACTCAAAAAAATAAATAAGATGTTGTTCAGCCGAATCGAAATTGTACTGTACTAAAACAGGAAAACGGCTAGCGCCCACAATTTCTTAACGACTAAAACGTTCTACATATCGTTAAAAGATTCCATTTTGCAAGTAAAATAATGAAATTATTTAACTTAAATTTGAATCTGAAATATTAACCGGTTTTCTTTCCTTTCCGTTTTACATATCCAATCATTCTCACGAAGAAGAGGAAGAAAAATGTCCAAAGGGAAGGTCTTATTCATTGCACGTCCCTCTCTGTCTCTCTTTCTCCACCTCCAACCAGTGATGTCATTCACGCCTTGTTCCCGTCAAATTCGTCTTTTTTTTTAATCTGTTATTGCGGATAAATTTTAAAAAAAGGGGGCATTTTAGCTTTTTTAGAAAATTTTAATTCCAGAGCAAATGCTGATTCTTCCCAAGTCAAACGCCGACATCGAGCGAGTTTTTAGCCAAGTAAAGGTCCAAGTATAAGGTTCATACTTAGATTTATATTTGTATTCGAAATTAATTTATTTAAAATTTAAGATATGGTCTGCGTTGAAGCAATAAATGGTGTTTTGATTACCAGCTGCCAAGCAGCTGCTCAGCCACACTAGTCCAACAGGATTATTGTCCGTCCGAAGAAGGAGAACATTTGGACGACGAATAAAATATAATTTAACTTTTATTTATGAAATATCCCATGAATTTTCATTGTTTTCCTTTATTTTCATTTGTTTATTAATATATAAATGAGTTATAAAAACAAACAAATAATAATTGTCTTAAAATCAGCTTTCTTCTTAGCTTTTTCTCCATGATCTTCCGCTTTTTTTAGCTTTTTTTTTTTTTTTGTAATCCATCTTATTTTTATATAAAAAAAATCACTTTTCAGTGTTCTCTCTGCCAGGAATAACGACGGGGGAGGCGAATTAAATATAAATTCTATAAGTTACGTTGAGTATTTCGCTTTAAAATTTTTATTTTCGGTGTTTTGTTTACAAGTTTCCAGTTTTCTTTTTACAAGCTTTCATTAAAAAAAAAATGGTACAAAAAGTTTCTATTGCAATACCAAGTGATCCTTACAATGCGTAATAAATTTTGTTATAGTTTTCGCGTTTAAATCGGTAATTTCGGTGGCCTATGAAATACTACCGCCAAAAATTGTACCTTAACATTGTAATACTATAATCAAAGGACACAGGTAAAATCAGAGTAGAGATGGAAAAACATTGATTTTCCTCCGCCAAACATCGATGAATCCGATGTTCTGAAAACATCGATGACTGCGATGTTGGCATCGACGTTTGTCCACCTCTGCGCTGCTTTCCCTCTGCCGCAGCGCTGCACAGTGGGGTAACAGAGCCCGAATGTGGAGATCAAATCAACCAAGTTGTAATTTTCTTTTATCAAGTCTAACTCACTTATAAAAAAAAATGGTAATAAAAAAAAATATATTTAATAATTAAAACTTGTCAAAACCGTTTGTAATTTTTGTAAAAATTAGATTACTCCGTAAATTTACTTTTCTAGAATAGATTCTCAGAAAACATGTTTGTGTATCTGCATATGTGTGCGTATCGTATTCAGTACAGGCAGAGTAAAAACTTTCCACTTGTGAACGTCAAATTTGTATTTAGTTTTGCGTTAATATCTATTTTGTTGGCGCGAAAATTTAATTTTATGTTCTCTTCTCTTTAATTTTGTTTACTTCTAGTAGGCCGATCAGCTGTTTTTGCATTAGCGAATGCCTGTGTGAATAGATATCTTCCACTTTTTCGATACAACACTTTTAAGCGGCTGTGTGCAGACGCTATAAAGAAAGGGCATTTTATGAATTTAACTTGAAATCCAAAGTCTTAGCGATTTCTTAAATATTTTTTTAACATTAATGGCTAAAATCGCCTCTGTTACCCTACTGTGTGCTGCCTCTGTTAGATTTAATATAAAAATGTTACGAAAACGATGAACTAACATAAAAATAAATTCAGAGTGACCGTGGAAAAGTTTAACAAATATACTGAATCCGCGGTCGGACGCGTCTTTAACTTTTGGTATAAAATAGTAATTGTAATTATAGCAGAAAAACAGGAGAAGCGAGAGGCGAGAAGACGTGCTCAATCAACTGCGGTGCGTTGAAGAGAGAGAGTCGAAGTCGAAGTGAGTGCTGTGCCTGAGTGTGAGTGTGGTGATGTGAGCTGGAAGTGCAGCTGTCGCTTAAACAAATGAAAAGCATAAAAGGCCGCTGCCGGGGCTGATCGTCCGCCATTCATTGTCCTCCGGTGCGGAAAAACGTCGAAAACAGCCAAAACAACGAGTTAAATTGCACGTAGAATTATTTCCCAACGCAACGCAGCAACTCTACGCCCAAAAGTCGCCGGCGACGTGACGCCAACGCCGGCAGAGACGCCGTTCGCCGCGCCGCAACAAATGCAGCAAATGCGGGACCGAATTCAGCTGAATTTGCACAAACGCCTTGCTGACGCGGTGAAATGGGAGCATAAAAACCGAAAAACAACATTTATGTGCGAAATATTCGAAAACTTCGTTCCCAGTGCGATGTGTGTGTGTGTGTGTGTGTGTTCGAGCCGTGCAAGTGTGTTGCAGAACGAAGAGAGTGGGATAGGCAGAGCGAGAGGAGAGAAGGATGGCAGCGCTTATACCTGCTCCGAAACAAAAACCGAAAACTGAAACAAAAGTGTTTGTTGCAGTCTTCGGAAATGCAAACTGGTTAATGGTTAATTTCTACGTAACGCTATTTTTCCGCTAAATCGCTTATGGCCACACATTCTCTTAAGCCAGCTTCGGCCGTGGGCGAGGAGGGAAAGGTGGAGGGGAACCATTCCCCCCTCGCCCACGGTCGACGACGTTGGCTTAAGAAAATGTGTGGCCATATTTTTTCTCCTCCGTCTCCGTCTTTCATTCGCGCTCTCCCTTTTGAAACTCTCGCCGCGCGCTGTTCTCGCCGCCTCCGTTTTGTGCCGCACTTCCAAGATAAAGAACGCGAACGCGAGATAAATGCGAAATATTGTATCTTAGTGGCGACGAGACGAGCGAAACAACGTACTCATTTGTTCTCATCGATTTGTTTTGTCCGACAGAAAAGTTGAAGCCTAAAACCAAAAGCAAAAGCCTAGCCGCTGGATACAAATACCTACCACGCAATCCAGCCGCCAGACAAGGAATTAATAATTAACCGCCGCAGGGACTTAAACAGAGACAGCGAGAAGCGCCGCCAAAATGTCGGAAGAAGTAGATCGCAACGATCCGGAGCTCAAGTACCTCTCGGTGGAGCGCAACCAGTTCAACGATCCGGCCACTCAAGCCGAGTGGACACAGAAGCGTCTAGTGTGGGTGCCGCACGAGAACCAGGTGAGTCCGAGTCCGGTGCCCTTACCTGTGGAGGGAGTCAGGTCCTCCGCCACGATCTACCCAGGGTTTTTCCTCCCCGGCTGATTAAGAATGTGAACCACGCCCGAAACACTGAGTTACCTGACATAAACCCTATTGATAGCTCCTCTACATGAGCGTAAAAGCAACAGGAACAGCTACAGCTGTGGTCAACGTAATAGGTATAGATGGTTTTAGTTCTATTTTATTTTTGCAATTTCATAATTTTATAACGAATGCTTCTAAATGAATTAAGTGTTTTTAAAACGATTTATATTGAATTGACTATTTGCACTTTTTCTTTATATTTGATATTTAACTTTAGATCAGTCTGTAAAATAGAGCCAAAATAAAAGGAGCGATATTAATTTGACCGCAGTTGTACAAGTTCTAATCAATTTGCGCAGTGTTTGGATTTCTTATCGCCAGCACCTTTTCGAGCCACCCTGCTCACTCATCGATCGGGCATGAATCACGCATCGTTGTTCCGTTTATTTTTAATTTTTAACCGGGCCAACTTCTTTGAATTTTTCATTACTTTCGCACAGCCGTGATAAAATTGAGTAAACATCCGTTGATGCTGAATCATTCGTTTCTCCTGCGGTGAGGCTGAAATCACCGCACCGCATAGTGGGCCCGAATTTAACGGTTTACTTGGTCAAATCTGTTACTATTTGCTGCCAAGAGTCTTTGCCCAATGCTACCTATTTGCATGCAGACGCTCTCTGACTTACTGACTCATCTTTGAAGGAGAGGGCCAGTAGGAACGGTCACAGTTTCCACTGAGAGCGGGCCAAAACAAGTTTTTAATCTGGCCGGGTATTTGTGTGTTCGATTTGCGAACATACAGCCAAGCCAGCAAAGAGATTGGGCCAAGGCATCATTGGTTTCTGCGCCTACTCTTTGAGCAGAAAAACGATCGCGAAACTTTGGTCGGCTGGGTAAGTTCCCGCCAGATGATAACAAGCTGAATTGTTTTGCTAATTTGCCTTCTCGTCATTTGTTTGAAACGATTTCATTCAGGTGTCATTCAACTACATTCCTTAGACTTCATTTCAACCATAAACCCAAACAGATAAAATTAGCAGCCGGGTTTTCTTCCCTTAGCCCTGCCGGTGATTGCTTTATTTGCCAGAGATAATTCGGGGCCACAGAATGGTAGCACTTTTGGGTGACTTCATATAATAAAAGAAGCAACGAAAACAAAGGAAAACAACTTCAAATTTTTGTGTAATTACGCGATCACTTAAACAGACATTTACTTTGCAATAGAAAAAAGGCAGCGGCAAAGATAAAGCCAAGAAATAAACACGAAAATAACGAAACGAACGCAAACGCTCGATTGTCATGAGCAGTCCGTTGGACAGTGGGACTAGCGAACAGCCTCAGAGACGAAAAGTCTGAGAGACTGACACATAAGACAGGCGAGAAACGTAAAGAAATTTGCATATAGTATACGTTGTTGCTCCGCTGGAATGTCCCACAGATTCAGATACAGCTACATTTTAACGGCAACGGACCCGGCCAAAAGGGTATTCGCCATTTGTGTCAACACTCCGTTGGGCCGAACATTCCGCTTCGCTTCGTCTCCAGCAACTGTAACAACTTTGCGCAATGTAAGGGAATTCGCTGAATAATGGCAACGTCAGTCCACGTACGTGTTATCCAAATCCATTTATTCACTTGTGGATACACAGTGAAACCTTTTGTTGCTGGTTAGCTTTCGTTCAATTTTGTTTACTGATCAGCGATATTTTTCCAGGTCATGTGGGTTGCGTTTTGGTGCAATGACTCATCGTAGTATTTACCCAGAGAGAAGTTTGATAAATGACGACATTGGGATGGAGAATCAGAGTTGAAAATTTGTTTAGTTTTGTTTGGAAATGATCTTGGGATCTTAAGTGTATGCAAAATTCAGTATCTATAGTATTTATTCATATTAAATTTAAATCCAAATGCTCAAAAATTGGTAGTAAACATGGCGTCCTTATGCTGACATTTCTCCTCATATTTTGTCTTCTTCTTTACTTTTAAATCTGGTCTTATCTGACGTCTGTATAGGCATTCCCGTATGCCTGATCCCCCCGACCAATCTTAAAACTTTTTCATATTGTTAGCCAAATTGAAGTCGGTTTAACCTTCGTCATGCCCAGAGAATCGAATCGACTGTAACAAACGCTGATCATTTTGGGGTCTCTGCACACCCACACATGTGCCCGGTATCGTTTGTTGATATTCCAAAGCGTGTCTGTGTGTTTCTTGTATTTATAACCAACAGAAACCACTTTGGACTTTGTTTGTAACCACTCCCACTCCACTTCCCCGCCCTCGCTCTGCTGGGTTCTGGCGGAGATGCCTTTGCCGCGCGAGTTTGAGTGTTTTCTTTTCGGTTACGGCAACGACAAACGTAGCCAGCTTTTGACTCTCGTCCGTCCGGTTTACGGTCAACGAACCTGCTCCTCGTATCTCGTATCACGTATATGTAATATACGTTTCTTTCCCTCCCCACACATGCATATGCGTTGATCGATTAAGCGAAGAAATAAAATAAAAGAGTAACAAATTATAATGGCCATCCATCGTTCTTCTTGCTCGCACTCGAATTGTGGGATAAGAGGTTAGGGAGACCGGGAGACCTCTGCTCATTATTCGTTTCATATTTACATTTTCGGAATAGTGTAAACAAAAGAAGTTGGCAAAAAGCATTCTTTCCCAGAGAGTAAATAATGGGTGTAGAATCTACACTGTAGATATATCTTGGCATAGCCTATCAGTTTTATCTGGTTTGCTGGCTATTTGACGGATCCCTTGGTAAGTTCAAGGTTGCGATTTGGCAACCAAAAATATTCAGTTCCGAAAAGGGGAGCTCCCACACTTGACTTCTTCCCGCCTTTCCAACTTTCCTACTTAAATTCCTCCCCGATCATCATCATCATTGCCGCTCGCTTTGTTTGTAGGATTTTTATATTTTCTCTGGTTTCGCTCCATCGATTGCCCGGAATGCCCGAGATGCCGTTGAGCGAGAATCTGAGACTGATGACCTCATGTGCCACAACTCTTGTCTCCGCCTCCCGCTGCCTGCCTGAATAACTTTGGCTAATTTCCTTGGCTCGATAACTCCAATTCATCTCTTGCGGGGCATTCCATGATCGTGATTCATGGTCCGACTGGCGGAGTAGTTGCAGCATTTTCCGATTCGCCATATTTTTTGCTTCTTCTGCTGCTGTCGCTAAGCCTTGTATCTGGTGTGTCCAAACTGTCAAACGTTTTAACGTTCAAATGTTTTGCCAAGCTGACAACGGCTGCCCACAAATCAGACAAAAGACTGGGACGGGGGTGGTTCGTCGGAGAATGACTCTTGGCACAGCGAAAGAAGTCGAAATTGAGTAAATGGTTTCGCTAAGGAAGGCGGTTTGTGTGTAGATGATTTAACCTTATGTCTATCTTTCATTTCTGTAAACTTATCATATGGCCAAGCGAAAAAATTCGCCTTAGGGCATATTTTTAATAGTGTTGATTGCACGCTTGACTGTTGGGCATTTACATGCTCCAAATGGTTTCATATCCGTCATATCCGCTCGAGAATAACGACTTTGTTATGGCTGTTTATCCCTGATACCGGAAAAGCGCAAAGATAACACAGTCAGCAGCAGCATATAGCTAAAGTGAGAAGGAGCACTACAACGCGGGTTTTCCGAAACTGATCGCTGGGGCGTGTGCGTGTTTAACTTAATGGACCCGGTCTGGCCTGGGATGCGTTGCAGATGCTCCTGCTGCCCCGGTTGTTGGTCTTAATGCATTTCTTGTTGGCAGCGGCGGCACTTCACTCTACCCTTTAATGACTGAATTACGGATTGCCCTGATTTGATTAATGTCAATGCGCCGCGTGCAGCATGCAGCGTGCGTCAAGCTCCCTGCTCCCCATTGTTGTTGTTTCACTTGACTTCTAATTGAAGCTGTTTGCCTGTTGCTGCAGCTTTTCCGAGTTGTTTGTGTATGATTGAATTTCATGGTTCTTTTGTAAAGGGAAATTCCGTAGTCTCGGTAGTGAATCACACTTAGTAGTTTTATTCGGTTATTGCTTATTACGATCGAAAACCGAATTTTGTGATGCATACTGAAATCATGCACAACCGAATCCGCGCCTTGAACTTGTTACGGATCATGGGACGCAGGGGCGGTTGGGGAAGTGCCAGACATGCGGACAGACAGTTGCATCTGCCTCCCGTTGTTCTGTTTGCTCGGTTTGCTCGGTTTTTGTTCATTCTGGCTGGGCCACTTGAATTGGTGCAGTTTTTCCCTACACATTTCACTTGCCAGCGAAAGGGCGGAGACTGAGTGACTCTTCTTCTGGCGCTTGACTCATGCAGCGTTGTTGCACTTGTTATGTTTATCGCCTACCCGCTGAGTTAAAAAAAAAGAAAACACACACACACAATCTGCATTTTGCATAACTTATCCCATCCTGTACCACTTAAAGCATACTTTTACAAATATTGCATCCGTAACTAACCCATTCTTCCTTCTTTACAGGGCTTCGTGGCCGCCAGTATTAAGCGGGAGCATGGCGACGAGGTCGAGGTGGAACTGGCCGAGACCGGTAAACGGGTGATGATCCTACGCGACGATATACAGAAGATGAATCCGCCAAAGTTCGACAAAGTCGAGGACATGGCCGAGCTGACGTGCCTGAACGAGGCCTCCGTTTTGCACAACATTAAGGACAGATACTACTCTGGCCTGATCTATGTAAGTACCTTAAATTATATTTAATTCTCTTTTGCTTATAGTTTGAATATGTGAAACCCTAAAGCCATCTCCCAATCCTGCTGTGCATTCGTCCCAGGTCGAATGATTTCTAAAAGTTTACTTACTTTTTTGACTCCTACTATTCGCCCACATTCGTTGTTAATTGGCATGCCAAAAGCGTGTTGGTCAGAAAAAAAATGTAATTTTTGGATTTAATGAGAAACGAATTTCAAGACCGGCATTTAAATGTGGGGCCGTAATTTTAATCATCTACTCTGCGCTCTTCTCCCTCTCATTCTCTTTTATTTCTTTCTTATATAAATCATTAAATTATTGCCTGCAACTGAAGCTCTCAATTGATATCGGTTTATCTGATTAACATTTATTTCCCCAAAAATGAGGATGGATTAGTAGACAAATTTCAAATTATCGACCTGATAAATTAATTTAAAATGCCTTAAGCTAATTAGTCTAATGTCTTTTAGCTTGAGCACTTTTATTTTTCATAAATAACCAGATACATTTGTAAAACCGTTTGCGGATTTCTGAAAAAGTCATCGTTTGCTCTTGGCCCCACTATATTTTAACTCTGACAACATATTGCTAGGGAATGTTGCTCCACTACTTATCTTCAGCTGTGGGTGTCTATTTGCTTTGATTCTCCGTTTCTTCCTACTGTTATTCGCCGCCATGTGGCAGGTTCGTTGCGGCTTCTCTTTTTATTGTACAGCAAATTATGTGCCTCTTTTTACATATTTTATGTATTGCGGCTGCTACTTATCGCAGTCTTTCTCTCTCTCGCTTTGGGAGTTTTAATTTAATGCCCAAACTGTTGCTGCCGCTTTTTGATGTGGGCGCGAACGGTTTTTAATTTGTTTATGTTGTTGTTGGTCGGCTATGCTTCAGCGCACTTAGCATTGTCGTTGTATCTGCCGCTGCTGTTGTTGTTGTTGCCCAAATTCGTGCGCCGCTTTGCCGTTTACACAACCCCGCCACACACTCATCTTGCCTCTCTTTCTATCTCTTACCACGGCTTGTCCCATTTAATTCGTTCGCCAATTGTTGCTGACGCGCTCTGCCCGCTAACTTGTTGCACGGTGCTGTGCTGGGCTGTCTTGTGGGGGCTGCACTTAACGGCATAATTATTATAATTTGGTGACATTTAATTCGATTTTAAATTTCATTTGAATTAATTTGCCTGGCAGCTGCCGACTGCCGGTAGCTTGTAGCTTAATTAATATGCGTCGACAAGAAGAATGACTTACACGCACACACACACGAACACTCATGGCGACTAGCTCATGGATATATGTATGCAAATCAAGTTGTCAACACCTCAGCAACAGCTGAAAAAAAACAAGTATCGCAGCAAATATGGCCAATTTGTTAAAAACGAAAATGTTTGGCCTACTGATTTGAGCGGAAACTGTTTCGAATCATAGGCCAAAGTTTTGCACCCAAATCAATAAATCAGCAATGATTTATTCATGTAAAAACATTTTTCAAAACACATTTATTATTGTAGTATAATATACATAGTTTCTTTCTTCGTTTCTCCGATTAATATTAAAATTTTACAAAAACAATCCTTCAAAGAATTGCTAATACAGATGTAGTTCAATTACAAATATCTCCAAAATTAATGTACATAAAAATTAAATGTCAGATAGGAAATTATGTAATATTTTTAAATATTTTTTTGATTGGACATGACCACCCGCCTTGTCCTGCTGATGCGCCTGATTACAAGTGAAATGGGGTTTTAAATTTTCATTAAAACATTTGCATTCTGCCTCTGTTGTTGCTGCAATTAATTGATTTATGTCCACCGGGTGACTGGGTGCAATTGCTCAAAGGCAGAATGTGTTCAGCGATATTACGTTTGCATTCCGCTCAGCAGTTTTGGCAGCCAAAAGAACTTGACAACGCATCGGCGATCGAGAGAAAATTACGTTAGCGCCTTGGCAGCTGCCAGCTGGTGCTATCTTAATTCCCTTTCGGTCTTTACTATCTTTGAGATGCGCTAATTGAAATGGCAGTCTGAATTAAACAGAACGGCGTATTAATATGGGATTGCCGGGCACTATTTTCCTTGGCTAGATTTAAATAGCGACAGCAAATAAGTCACATGAAGCGTGCTCTTTGTGGCAAATAAATTATGTTTTTCGCATATCAGTTGAGCAATTTGTTGGCACCTGAAGGAGGTGGAATGGGTGGAAGATAGAAGTGTCTTTAGGCATTTAATTAACAAAAGAGGCGCCACAGTTGGTTTTGCTTTTTGTTTTTTATGTAGCTAATTTGAGTGGTGTCTTACTTTAAATGGCTTACACTGCCTATCGACACCGAATTTTCTTCTGTTGATCTTTCTTGAAACCTTATTGATAGGCATTACTCGTCTGCCGTGACTGGCCTTCTTCCTTTTCGCCACTCCCCCAGATACAAATAAATGCCAGCGTAAATTATTTACCTTAATTTGAATAAATTTCATGATTTGTCTTATCCGCTGACCATATAAGGCGATATATCAGTGCAGGTTTCAGTGATTAATGACGTCCCCTGTACGAATTGTTCAAGTATTCACCAGGATAATGAGTAAAAGCAGAATAAAAACAGTGATTCAAAAACGTTCGGAGCAAATCTCAACGCGAGTCAGGGCCACTTCTAAATGTTTGCCAAAAACAGCTTGACACACGCACTCATACACGGGCAATGTGGCTGATTGGCAAGACGTGATTTTAATGTTGATTTCGGGCCCTGTGATTCACTCCTCCTCCCCTTCACATCACCCTCACAGACCCCTACGAGTTCAAGAGATTTTCTCAACTATGATTTTTACCTGCGCTACTTTCCATTTGGATCTGTGTGGGCTGCCTTACACTTCCCCACCTCCTTCGAGATACTTTTGCGCGCTGCTGTGAAGTTCGCAGCATTCGCATCTAATGTTTGGCCAGATATTTAAATGGTACAACAAATAGCATAAGCCGCATACTTAGTGCCCACGCCGAAGTCTCGGTCCCAATCGCAATCGCAGTTATGTAGGCAGCCGCTCGATAGATACCACCACCACAACGGATTCGGATTCGGAGCACAGATACAGCGGCGGTGCAGATACATGCGTTTGCTATTTAAGGTGCTGACCAACTTTAAAGCACATGTCTTTTAGATAGCCAAACGAGCGTGTGTGTGTGAGTTTGGGCAACAGTAACTAGGCCACTGAACATCAGTGGCCGGTTTCTAAGGCAGTCGATAGCCCAAGCCTCACTTGTTATGCAGCTTGAGAATGAATGATTTTAGGCCTGAAAAATCATCAAATGGTTCTAATGTCCTTAATATGTATATGTATATGCAGAGAAGTTTGGAGTAGGTTCTCTACTATGACTGTAGATTTGGCTTTGTTGTTTCAGGAATCCTAAGCTAACCCCTTATTTGTTTAATACAAAGACTTATATTATAAACTTTATTCTTTTAGACATATTCCGGTCTATTCTGCGTTGTGGTCAATCCGTACAAGAAACTTCCGATCTACACCGAAAAGATAATGGAACGGTATAAGGGCATAAAGCGACACGAAGTGCCTCCGCACGTATTTGCAATAACGGATAGTGCCTATAGAAACATGTTGGGTGGTAAGTATCTCAGTCTCTGCACTTACTTTCCTTTTCCGCTTCAGCTGCACACAGATATTGGAGTTGAAATGCGAACATTATCAGCTGCGCTTCTTGTTTTCTTTTGTGCGCGATTTCAGGTCGCTATCGGAAATTCCATTCTCCACATAAACAAGCGAATTTTTTACCCAGACCGAGCTGATAAGATAACCCATGGCAAAGTTTACTCTTGGGCAGAGTATTTCCACGAATCGCGTTAGAGAGGGGTCCACATATGACACATTTTGCAGAAATAACTCCATGGAGCTGCATTAGCATTTCCAGTTGCAAAAATTAGCAGTGAATCATCTGCAAATGTGTTCCTGTCCCCCGAATGACTGCCTCTCTTCTAATCATAAACTGGTTTCCTTTTTCGGCTTGCATTTTGAAATGCGATTTTTTTTGATTTCCTTTTCACTGATTTTGCTTTTTTCACTGTTTTGGCTTCAGTGAGTTTCGATGGTTTGCATGTCCGATCCAAGCGTAACGTCGAGACTGGAGATGACTCACGTGGTGGGGGCTCCAGCACAGCAGAGACTTCAGCTCGAGGCCGGCGTATCTTATAGTGGCTGTATCTATGGGTTCCTACATGTGTGTGTTTCCCCTGCTTGGGTTTGGTTAACTAATATTGCGTATACGTGTCATTACCATATTTGGATCTAAAACTGAACCCGGCTCTGCTTGGACAGCAGGCAACTTTGTTTGCCCCATCATCATCTTTGTTGTAGCTCTGAAAATGTTCAAACAAATCGTCACCTCACTCAGGCTCACCATATTTGACGCTTAATAAATTTTTGTTTATGCACATTTGGCTGATTGTATTTCCTCGGAATATATTTTTTGAGAAGTTTGCTTTACAGCGACACCCCTTAAGGAGTGGCAGTTCCTTTGATTTATTTCACTGGCCTTAAGTAATCTTAGCCCAGCGCCATCGCCTCTGACTCCATTGCCCTGAAACACGCACCGCAATCGGATCCAAAGCGCTCTAAAGACTGTGGAGCTGGACAATCGCCGCACACCTTAATCTGTTCGGGCTTCTTTAGTTGTTTCCCCAACTCGTAGCAATCGCAAATCTCGCAACTCCGTCCAACTGCATTTTTTATGGCATTCCATTCCACGCTCATAATGTGCCAATGTCATACGACTCTTGTTCATGATAAAATGGCACGCCTTGACTTTGAGTGTATTTATGTGGTATATATTTAAGTGCATGCTTATATATACAACAGGGTAAGGTTTGCCATTGGACAGATGTTTTGCATGTCTGTGTTTTGTCAGTTGTTTCAATCAGGAGTTTATTTTGGGAGTGGAGTAGTTCTGTGTACGACACTTGTCAAAAATTATGATCTTAAAAAAAATTCAAGTATATAGTTTGCGGGTGGAATTTCTTAATCGTCTAGTTTCAAACCGTTCTTTGGAAAATAGATCAAATTTGGCCGAGCCGTTGAATAAATTGCTCATAATCTAACTGAATTGCAAGGATTGCGTAAGCCTTTTCATAGCTGTTTTTAAATGATCGAAATGCCTTTTCTATTCACTTAACCACTACATTTTTTAAAACCAAGACACAAAAAACCAATGAATAATTCCCATAAAACGGCGTGTTCAGATATATATTTCAGCCCATTTATGGTCGGATATTGAATGTATGTATAAATACGCGACCGGCTTTATCCATAATAATAAATAAGTACGGGGTCGTGATGTTGAAGCTGTGTGGAACGGGCTTCTCAAAATCTATGGCAATCAGAGTGGATATATCTAACTTGCCGTTGCTCTGCCTGTGTTTGTGGTTAGCTCAATGCTGGATCGTATGACGAGGCTGCCATTTGGCGGGGTGATCTAGGGGTGCAGTGCAAATCTAGATCGCTTTATTCTTGATGGGATTGTTGGCGCCATATCAATAGCTATGAACAACAGCAATTTACTGCTGCTGCCTGTTGCTGTACGTATCTCTTAGATACGCAGGCTGAAATCAACAGTTTTTGTTTTCATTTTCAATTGATGTATGTCTCTTTTTTTCTCCTGCTCCCAACCACTCTATGCTTCACTTTGCTGTGTTTTTGGCTTTGTTTTTGCCCGCATGAATTTGGGTCAACAGAAACTTTGAGCTGAGCTTGGCTTTTTTAATTTTAATTTCATATTCGGTGGGTCAGCCACATTGTTGCGTTAATGAAGTGTGTCAATTGCCCAATTCTTCTCGCGTATGCCCTGCTCACTCACTCCTTTCCCTCTTTCTTCTTTGCAGATCGCGAAGACCAATCGATTTTGTGTACTGGCGAATCGGGTGCTGGCAAGACGGAGAACACCAAGAAGGTCATCCAATTTCTGGCTTATGTGGCAGCCTCCAAGCCCAAGGGCTCGGGTGCGGTAAGTGCAAAAGCGCAGAACCAACAATGCGTTCATCTAAGAATCGATGCAAATGCAAAGCTGTATCCACCAGTGTGGGAGGGTGCGTTGGAGACACCCGCCATAGCGATTCAGTTCCATATGGCTTTTGAGTGTGGAAAATGCTTATTAAACTCACATTAAAGACACGCGAGCCCGACAGTTGTTATTTTTTGGTATTGTAATTAATTAGACATACTACGTTCGCGGGAGATAAACGACGCTTACATAAACACGTTATATGTTTATCGTCGGCAAAGTGTCTTTAATACGCCTTCGAAACTTTGACTTCTTCGTGGGAGTGTGCAGTTCAATCTATTTTGTCTCTAGTAACCAAGAGCATTAAGTATACATGGGTGAGCAAAGCTAATTTTTCGATGGCGAAATATTTTGCATAGTTTTCGAACAACAATCGATCTGGATTCTATATCCATTAGCAGAGCTATTAGAATTTGAAAAAGTTCCAAGCAGATGCACAGTTTAAAAACCCTCATCTGATGCTCCCCATGTGGTATATGATTGAGGGTTACGATTGAATATTTGGTTGGTTGATCACTTGGCTGGTTTATGTGCTTTAATGGGGGAACCGAGGAACACTTCATTAATCAAGAGCTATAGTTGCTGACAAATTTTGTCATTTACAGCAATAAAATAAACACCATAAAAAAAGAAGGGAGAATTGAAATTAAATTGCAGAGGAGAGCAGACAATTGGTAAAGCACTGTTTTTTTTTTCTTTTTCTTTTTTTTTTTGACTTGCTCAGTCAATCCTTTTAGGAACAAACAAGTTGTTCTTGAGCTCCAAACACACTTTTCGTTATGTTTAACGCGTTTACTGCCTTATATGAGCCTAAAGCTGAGGCTGCGACTAAAGTTGACTTTGCTGCTGCGAACGTGATAAGCTGCAAATATACATAAGAAGTCTCTAGATACACGAAAAAAATAAGCCTCCAAATCGTTAAACATGCAGAGTTAAACAAATATAGTAGGTAGACAGATGTTCTAAGCAACGATTATACTTCTTACCTTAGTAAGTTACATAGTTATTGGTAAAATGTTTGAACTCAGGTATTACCTCTGAAACCATGTCCCAAAAATAGACGCTAACGATAGATGATATATCGTCAAGGCAAACAAAAACGACTGCACTGAATCATCGGAAGTTGTTGCTAATGTAATTGAAATAAATGAAAATTGGTTGGTTTGATTATAAATTAGTGAGTGTTAGCGAAACTCTTTATCAGCCATAGATAAGAAACGCGATAAGAAGAACCGAAAAACCAAAGAAAAACAATGATATAACTTTGCATTTGTTTAAAATCATTTTTTGGCTGTTTTCCACTCAAAGTTCAGTTGTTTTTAAATATTATTTGCGTGATGCTAGGGATAAGGCAATATACAAATTTATTTACTTCTAATATATTTTATTATTTATCTATTGATCTTATTTATTTTCATGTCCTACCACACATACACACCTCTATGCCACACCACACACCTATAAATACACGCACACACACCCTGTACATTGGACTTTGGTTGTTGTCTTCACTTTCAACTACATATGTTTATATAACTTGTATATATATAATCTGTAAAAAACGCTGCCAAAAATCACAATCGATCCAAATATCCGACAACCAAACCAAAATCGTACCTCAACACCTCCAATCAACTGACAACAACTCCAACAGGTGCCGCATCCTGCCGTGCTCATTGTAAGTATTTGTGGACTGACAGAGAATATTATCCCAAACTTTGTGTTCTGAAATTAACCCTATATTTATTAACCCTCTTCAATGTTTGATTTACTTTAATTTTTGTCCCCTGATTACTTCTGTTCCCAAAACTATTTCTGTTTTCCCCAACTGTGTTGCTTTCGCATTTCATCAACTGTGACCTTAATCTTAGTATTAACCCTCTCCAAATGAATTCTTCCCCCTCTTCGTTTTATCTCCCTTGTTTTCGTCCCACCCAAGCCAACACTCATCTACCCAATCTCATCTCTCTGATCCGATCTGCTCTGCTCCTTCTTTGTACTACATATGCCAACGCAATTTTAGAGTAGTCATCAAGAAACCTTTGCGGTAAAGTATGCTCAACGTCCATCAATCCCTAACATAAAATAATCATTTTGCTGTATAAGTATAAGTATATACATTTTATTTTGTAGCCATATAGTTTGATATGTATATATGATTTCAAGACTTGATAGACCAAAGCGCGTGAATGATGCGAGTCCTCGAGAAAGACCTAAATATCCATCCCTTTTCCCATAACCCCATTCCTACCTCATTGCAGAACTTCTCGGTCAACACAAACAAATACATAAGGGTTAAGATTATGGCCCAAGGACAGAATCAGTCTGTCGAGGTTACAAGTGGATTGAAGATGGTGGAAGTTAATTCCAATTATCCAGAGGTAAAGTCTGGATGAAGTCACTGCGCCGGCATTGATCGTGAGAAGCTGTAGGAGATCGTCCAGTGTTCATTGTCCTTCGTTTGCCTTGGCTTTGGGCTTCTTGCTGCATGTTTTCGTAGACTAATCTTATCTAGATGTGTATATAATTTGTGTTGCTTGTGATGTCACTGTACTTGTCCCCAGACTGTTTATATGTTTAGACTGCTTTCGTGTAATTTTTTGACTAACCCCAACTTTTCAAATCGTTAAACACATATACTTTTCATAATCGCATTTATCTTTAAACAGGGCGAGCTGGAACAACAGCTGCTGCAGGCCAATCCCATACTGGAAGCCTTTGGCAACGCCAAGACCGTCAAGAACGACAACTCTTCGCGATTCGTAAGTAGTGCCTTAACCTTCACCGAAAGATTCCCTTTTATCGTTTACCACTTTGCAGGGAAAATTCATTCGCATAAATTTCGATGCCTCAGGCTTCATCTCGGGGGCCAACATCGAAACCTATTTGCTGGAGAAGTCGCGTGCCATTCGTCAAGCGAAGGACGAACGAACATTCCATATTTTCTACCAGTTGCTGGCGGGCGCCACGCCGGAGCAGCGCGAAAAGTTCATACTCGATGACGTCAAATCGTATGCATTCCTGTCGAACGGTAGCCTTCCTGTGCCCGGCGTGGACGACTACGCCGAGTTCCAGGCAACGGTCAAGTCGATGAACATCATGGGCATGACCTCCGAGGACTTTAATTCTATTTTCCGGATCGTGAGCGCTGTACTGCTGTTCGGCAGCATGAAGTTCCGCCAGGAGCGCAACAACGACCAGGCCACTCTCCCGGACAACACGGTGGCCCAGAAGATCGCGCATTTGCTTGGCCTTAGTGTGACCGACATGACTCGGGCCTTCCTCACGCCACGCATCAAAGTGGGTCGCGATTTCGTTACGAAAGCCCAGACAAAGGAGCAGGTGGAGTTTGCCGTGGAGGCCATTGCCAAGGCGTGCTACGAACGAATGTTCAAGTGGCTGGTGAACCGCATCAACCGTTCCCTGGACCGCACTAAGCGCCAGGGAGCCTCGTTCATCGGCATTCTTGACATGGCAGGCTTCGAAATCTTTGAGCTCAACTCCTTTGAACAGTTGTGCATCAACTACACCAACGAGAAACTGCAGCAGCTCTTTAACCACACCATGTTCATCCTGGAGCAGGAGGAGTACCAGCGCGAGGGTATCGAGTGGAAGTTTATCGACTTCGGACTGGACTTGCAGCCCACCATCGACCTAATCGATAAGCCCGGCGGCATCATGGCCCTGCTGGATGAGGAGTGCTGGTTCCCCAAAGCCACCGACAAGACGTTCGTCGACAAGCTGGTTTCGGCCCACTCCATGCACCCAAAATTCATGAAGACCGACTTCCGCGGAGTGGCCGACTTTGCCATCGTGCACTACGCCGGCCGCGTTGATTACTCCGCGGCCAAATGGTTAATGAAGAACATGGATCCGTTGAACGAGAACATTGTGTCTTTGCTGCAGGGCTCGCAGGATCCGTTCGTGGTGAACATTTGGAAGGATGCGGAGATCGTTGGCATGGCACAGCAGGCCCTGACTGATACCCAGTTCGGGGCCCGCACCCGCAAGGGCATGTTCCGCACCGTGTCGCATTTATACAAGGAGCAGCTAGCCAAGTTGATGGACACGCTGCGCAACACGAACCCGAACTTTGTGCGCTGTATCATACCGAACCACGAGAAGCGCGCCGGCAAGATCGATGCTCCCTTGGTGCTCGACCAGTTGCGTTGCAACGGCGTGCTCGAGGGCATTCGCATCTGCCGCCAGGGCTTCCCCAATCGCATACCCTTCCAGGAGTTCCGCCAACGCTACGAACTGCTCACGCCCAACGTGATTCCCAAGGGTTTCATGGACGGCAAGAAGGCCTGTGAGAAAATGATTCAGGCTCTGGAGCTGGACTCGAACCTGTATCGAGTGGGCCAGTCGAAGATCTTCTTCCGCGCTGGGGTCCTCGCTCATTTGGAGGAGGAGCGTGATTTCAAGATCTCCGACCTAATCGTCAACTTCCAGGCCTTCTGCCGTGGCTTCCTCGCGCGCCGCAACTACCAGAAGCGCTTGCAGCAGCTTAACGCCATTCGTATCATACAGCGCAACTGCGCCGCCTACCTTAAGCTTCGCAACTGGCAGTGGTGGCGTCTCTACACAAAAGTTAAGCCTCTGTTGGAAGTGACTAAGCAGGAGGAGAAGCTCGTCCAGAAGGAGGATGAGCTGAAGCAGGTGCGCGAGAAGCTTGACACTCTGGCCAAAAACACTCAGGAGTACGAGCGCAAGTACCAGCAGGCTTTGGTGGAAAAAACGACTCTTGCGGAGCAGCTGCAAGCCGAGATAGAACTGTGCGCCGAAGCCGAGGAATCACGTTCCCGACTGA